ATATAATATTATATGGTCTAATTATTGGGATGAAAATTCTGAGAAAAAACAAAAACGCATACGATCGTAGAAGGACAGACAAGATCTGCTGTTCATTCATATTTTATAATTCTTTGTGTCTGATGCTTATCAGATCTGACAAGATCTTGTAAGAGACAGTCTGCTTAATCTTATATGAGTGTGCTCATCTGAATCTTGCAAGATTTTAGCTTCGATCTGACAACCAGAAACTGACTGAATCTTAAGAAAACCAAACATATAAGATATTATGCGATCTTGCCCCGTGATCAGGCAAAAAATCTTGTACGGGCTTACGTCTGATTTTTTGACCTGGGTAGTTAAATTGCGTGTGAAGTGTCGGAGAGGAAGGCAAGTGCCATCTGAGGACGTGTATATGCTATAAACAATATCGAGCAGTCGGAAGTGGCGGACCGACGGGACGCCGATGACCGACTGCGAGATCAGTGCATTGATACATCTTTTGAAAGGGTCTTATGACAAGAATCGAATTAAAAGTGAATCAGTCGAGGGCTTAGCGAGTCGGCCTCGGCGAGCGTTACTTGTTTCTATTCACTATTTAAACGATGTTTCGTAATTAACATTTGCCAAATTCAATATCAATTGATGAACCGAGATGATTTGGACAAAGTTTGTTATCATTTCAATATTTTTATTTTCATTAATACACCATTGAACAGTTCTAAGAAATATTGAATCACCATTCATTGATAATGTAGAAATAAAATCAATTTTAACATAATAAGTCAATGAAAATTCTTCCCGAGTTCTTTTTCGTATTTCAACTTTTGAAAATTTCTTCTCAAATATTCATTTGTGCATTTGTTACATCTTATATTTTTCAACTTCGATTTTCCTCAAGTGAATACATCCACCGTTCTTTGGTTTGATTTAGTATTACACGATAATCTATAGTCATTTCTTCTAAAGTTTGACTATTAATGATAAAATGACAAATGATATTTGAGAAATTCTCGGATAGAATTGTTGCGTGGAAATTAAATGATGAGATTTTCAATTGTTTTAAAATTTCATCAACATTTTTTATCGATACAAAGAAATCCAATTTCATTTCTTCCAAATAATTCGAATGAATGTGTTTTTTTTCCACAGGTTGAATTTTGAATTTGTTTGTTGAATAACTTTTGAATGTCTCATTAAGTTGTAAAATGATATCTTTTGCCGATGTATTGCCTACAAAACTTATTATACAAATGTTTTCTAATGCAAGTTTATCATTTATATTCTCACGTGAAATAACATTGAGAAATTTGGAAGATAAATCCTTTAATTATTTTATACACTTTATCTTACTGAATGTTGATCTTTGATTTAACAATTTATATAGATTTTTTACTATTTGAATGTTTTCTATTACAATGATTAACACAAATCCATCGAACATGTTCATTAGATGCAATAATGCGATATAAATTTCCTAATGTATCATGATCATCGACTCTTTCTCAATACTTTCGAATTGGTCGTAATTCGTTATCATTTACTTTGTGAATATTTTCTTCAATTGAAATATTTAGACTTTCTACAACTTTTGCCAAGATCTTATCTGTTTGTTCCCTTTTATTGATAATATTATCACAAAATTTTTTACTCTGTAAACTCTCAGTATTGGATTGATGATCAATGAAGACTTGTGGAATAGAAATGTTTCCAAAGTGTAAACATACCTTTGATTAAAGTTAATATCTTACGAAGATAAGGTTCATAATTTTGAAAGAATTCCCGTGATTTCCTTATTTCATATCTCATCGTGCAAAGCCAAATGACGTTCATTGTCATTTTGATCATCACATAGAAAATGAAAATAATATTTCTAATGAAGCCAATTTGAAGATTTGTAAAAAGATGAGATATGTGTTTTATTCAACTATTTCATAGATTTAACGTTGAATATCATCAAATTTGATTGAATTCATTTCAATATGATCTGCAATTGTATTTGAAATCTTGTGTTCTGATGAGATATCATTATCTTCATATGTCATTGTATGCCGATCAATTACGTGTCGAATTCAAGTTTTAATTCGTTGTGGATAAATGACTTTCTTATTGTTATTTTAAACGAATTGTAATCATTCGTCATTGAGTGTAGATCTTCGAATATCAACAAAATATTTATTCTTGTTAATCGGCATTTTTGCAATGTCATTTGTTAAAAATTGAATATTGTAGATGAATAAGAGACAAAGAGATTCAAAAGATATGGAATTGCATTTCTTGTCGTCAATGTTTTTATACCGTTCGATGTTTCTAATGCATTTTCCCTCTTAGATGTTTAACCAAACTTTAAAATCATGAATTCATATTTTTCCCAATGAGTAATAAAAACAAATGTTCTTCGTAATTTAATGTATTGTAGTTACAGAAGAATTAATTCCTTCTATACCTTTCCGCTTACACGTATCGAATTCGAAAATTAATAGACGAGCAAAATTTGTCGAGAGAAAACAATTCCGTGTTTTAGCGATTGCAGTTTTTCAAATTCATGTTTTTTGTAAATATATTGTGTTTTTACATATTGAAGAATATTTCTCGAATAAATATTCAAATCAGCATTTTACATTCGATAATATCTCTTTGATAAAATTATTTTAAACTTGCGAAGGTTTGTACACATTGTACAATCGATCAGTGTCTCCATTCGTTCGTTTACAACACAACATTATTTCATCATCTCAGTTGAGTTGACGGATCATTCTAATCGATTGTATCATTATACTGAATATTTTGTTTAGATATAAAATGAAACAAATGTTCATTTGATTCGTCTGACAGTTCCCTATATACCGCGCTACTTGCAATTAGTAGACTTTCCACATATTTCATCTTCAAAATCACTTTTCCTGATTGAATTATTCTGATCAATATGTTGTGCTTGTGATTTCACATGTATTGTGGCACATTCTCAAACGACACAACATTCATTCAATTCTCTCATAGAATTTTTGAAATCGATTCGATCCGAATAGGAATATGAAGATAATGATGTTGAAGAAAAAACAATGTTTTCATAATCAATCTGATTTCGAATGAAAATACAAACAAATGGGTCGAGTCAAGAAAAGCGGTATATTCACATGTATGTCTGAATATGAATAACTAAAACGATGTTATTCTTCAAGATCTATTTTGTTCGAAGATTTATTTTCGAAATATTTACAATGAGAGAATTTGTCGAAATTGATTGTTTGTATTTTAACGTGGTAACATTAATATTGCAACCATTCTCTTTCGTCTCCAACGCTCAAGATGAATTTTAAATAAAACAAACAATAATTGCCGTCGAAATCGTTCCGATACACAAATAAATATATAAAATGGACTCTTAGAATCAAAATCAATAGATTATATTTATCGATTTAAACAATTTCAACTTACTGCGAAATATAAATAATAGAAAAACACTGTTAAATTATTGATAAAATTAATTTTGACCACAGCCGATGGATCATTGATAATACTCGATATCGATCGAATAATTAATATAATTGGATAAGGTATTAATGCAATTATATTAAATATCCCCAATAGAAAAACCATCGTTGTTAATTGTTTATCTAATTGACGTCGAATAATCGATATTGTTCTTAATGATAATCGTTTAACATTATAAAAAGATAATAATCCGAATAAAATTGTAAGAAATATCGGAAGATAACCGGTTAATATAGCTGAATAAACATAAGTAAAATAATTTGAAAAGATCTTATTTGTAATCATACAACGATTCTTTTTGGTTAAATTTGATTGAATTATTTCAAAAAAGATTAAATATGGAATACCATGAATAAGCCAAAGAATAACAAAGATTTTTATAAGACGACGAGATAATTTAATATTACTCAATTCTCTCCATCGATCAGTAAAACATGTCGAGAAATATTGATCAATTGTTGCTAAACATAAACATGTTATAGAAATTAATGCACAAGATTGAATACAATATTGAAATAATTTACATAAATATAAAGAAACTAATGTTAAATCAATTCCAAATCCACTTACTAATATACGATGTAATAATCCTGTTGATAAATTTCCAATATTAATAAAAGAAATTGTTGTTAAATAAAATGCACAAGAATTTTCTCGAAAAGTTTTTAAACTAATAAAAACTATTAGATTTAATAAATTTCCAATACAACCACCGATTAATATAGGTATACCAGCATAAATTGAAATAGT